TTTGTCTCAGGTTTTGAAAATATATATAAATGCTCCAAGTCAACACATTTTCAAGATTTTGTGAAAATACGATGGTAATGTGCATTTTATTTTTATCATAAAACACAAATAAATGTACACCCATTGTCAGATCAAAATATCTCAAATACCCCAGTCCAGAGATACCATGTTTATTCTACTGAATATACCATATCGATAATTTTACATTATTCGTACTTGTTACGTAATAAGATCTGTGTCCAGGTAAAGAAAACAGCAAGTGGTGTATATTCTAAAGTGTTTAGCGCCTTCCATTATACAGAGAGAAAATTTATTTTATTCAAGTGTCACATACTTGTCTACCAAGTTATATACAAATTATATAAATTTGTAATATACATTTCACAATAATAAAATAAGACAAATACCCAGACTAGATAGGCTTATGAGACACTAGACATCTGACGATGACATTTAGCTTTAGGACCATTTTGTTTTCACAAGGAAAAACACCAATTTAAAAATTATATATATAACATTCTGTTAAAAAATCATTTTAAAGGTAAATTGACTGTAAAAAAAGGTAAAAGCATAACGTCCTCGCAATTTCTTGTTCAGAGCCAGGGACACAGATGTCCAAATGAATAAGAATACACTAAATGCTTAAACAATATATAGTACAATGGACACCAATCACATTTTGATAGTGTACTAAGAGGTTTACTCGTGTATTTTCTATATTCTAGAGACTTCAACATCCCACCAAAAATACAAAAATTAAAGTCCTAAGTTTTATAAATTAAATGTCATGTTTTTAAATATTATTTGCGAGGCTGCATGCACATTGTTTTCGTATATTTCTTTTCCGCCATTCATAAGTTTAATGTTTACCGTGACTTCTATATATATTATATAGTGTGTTACGTAGATCGATTTTTTAACTTTATTCTAAAAATTATTAACCGACACGGAGCGATAGCACGGAAACTGAAAAATGCTTCGGAAAGCGGATTGTTTGCTAATCATTTTGAAAAAAAAAACGTGAATTATTTTGATATCCTAATGATAATGTGTCTTTTTGACAGCACTATATTTTGTTGATTATTCAATATATGTATATGGTACCTGGCATTTATATACATATACATGCATAATAATAATCCCTTGAATATATTTTAGTTGATTGATTGTTGGTTGTTTAATGTCCAGTGTAAACTATTTCATACATTTCTATGAAGAAAGAGTTTCTCATTCCTAGGAAGATTTTATGATATTTGGTGCACAATGTAATTTAAAGTATTAACTCCGTGTTTCAAAGTCAAACAAGATAATTATTATTTTTCTTCATATTTCTTAAAAAAAAAATGAATATCCATATAATTCAAATCTGGTTTGGATTTGTTTTGTGCTCAATGGAATTTACTACGACAAATTCAATTTTATTGATAATTTTGGGATCAAATGTGATGAGGTTTATATTTAGGTATGTGCAAAACAGGGAAACAATAAACTGGTAAGTTGGAGACCATTCAGACTTCGTTTAGATGAGACACGTCTTCAAAATCAATACAGTTTAAAATTTTGGGGAGTTGAAAATTGAAAAGTGAAATTTTTTTTTTATTGTTTACTTTGCACTAAGCATTTATATACAAACCTCTTCTATTACTCTTCCTCTGAGCAAAACTCAGTTTGTTTTAAACCGATTTAAACGTACATTAAACAGAACTTAAACAGTAGGAGATCATGGTGGGTTTAACGACAATAAGACAGCAATCAAACAACAAAAAACACACAGGGACATCGAGTGGGCAACATATATAGTGTTTACCAATAGAAAGGTGTATACACAACATGCCAATTTCTAAATCGTCCCGAATTTCCATATATCATTGTGAATAAGTTTATCCAGAAAAATAGAATACATGTATTACATGTCTTTGATTTAACAGAAACAATGATAAAAGATATGGCATTAAAACGCGATTCTCCATATTAGCAATTGAGGAGAAAGCCTGAATATGAAAAGTTAAACAATTTAAAGGTCATACAAATTTTAAAGTTTTACTCCTTAGAGGTCTATTTTCCCCCTTCTTTTACCCTACAAGAAAACTTTCCTTGGAGCCGTTGATTAAATATCTGCCGAATTTTTCCAAAACGCTCATGTATAATAGTATTATGCCGTCGTGTGTTTAAACAGTTATTGGCCAGTCAAATCGGTATGCAAGTTAAATAAATATTAAATAATTAATATATAAATAACGCTTCACAATGATGCAATTATATTATAATTCTAAAAATATTATACATGACCAACAAAAATAAAATATATTAAATGACTGAAGCAATTTTATAATACTGGGGCCGGTTTCATGAAGCTATCCTAAGACCTGTCGTAAGACATATCTTAGGACATGTCTTATGATCCTCTTATGACTATCCTAGGACATATCTCAGACCTCGTCTCGAAGCTGTCTTAGGATGATCTTAGCAAAGATATCCTAAACCTGTCGCAAGTTCTTTAAAATTTACAATATAAACATTGATTTATGCGAAAATTCATGTAAATATAGTATGTATTTCCCATAAATTAATACACGTATTGATTAATATCCATTAATTAGATAACTTGCAAAATTAATATAAAAAAAATAAGAGTAATGTATATAAATAATACACCAATATACATAAACAAATTCAAATACAAAATGAAGAAGAAAAAAAAGGAAGAAAATGTTGACAATTTCTATTTTTACAAGTGAGTTGAATTCAATTTGTCACTGTATCGGTTATAATAAGGTTAAAGGATAAAATCGTGCATTCCTGCTATAAATACATCGAATGTTCATTGTTGATAAATCATTCTGATAATCCGTCAACCTAAAAAGATTTCGTTATGAGCAGGAAAAGGAGTCCCAATTTCACCGAATCAGAGCTTCAAATTCTTCTGGATGCCGTGGAAAAGAACAAATCAGTTCTATTCAGTAAACTGTCCAATGTAATTACAAATAGTGCTAAAAAGAAGATTTGGGAGAAAATATGCAGTACAATTAATGCAACAAATCACACTGACCATACACGTACGGTAGAGGAGATTCGCAAGAAGTGGACGACATACATGAGCAGTGTAAAGAAGGCTGCTTCAAATAACCGTCGCGAGGCACGGAAGACGGGCGGCGGACCTCCACCAGAGGAATTAACTCCGCTACAAGATAAAGTCGTCGGTATCATCGGAGAAACACCAATAGAAGGCATAGAAGGGGGAACTGACACAGGATCTGTACCATCTGCTGATGGAAGTGAAACCGATGTCTTGGACTTCACTTTCCCTACCTGTCCGAATTCTCGAAGGAGTTCAAATTCGTCTATGGAAAACGGTAAGTTTCTTTATAAAAATTATAAGATGAGGTATGATAATAATGGCGGATCCAAGGTCAAGGTGCGAGAGTTCTGAGGGTTGTACCCCCTTTTGTTGGACACCTTATGCTGGTTGAACCCCCCCCCCTTTTATACGACTTGTATGTACGCATTGCAACCCCTTTTTAAAATGGCTTGATATACCCAAACTCACCATGCAATACAAAATGTCATTAATGTACGCAATAATATGTTACTGGACGACCGTTAACGCGGAGCTTAGGGAGCTACCATTTGATTTTTAGAGGGGGGGGGGGGGGGGGGGGCGATGATGAAAAATTGTGTCCTGCCTTTTTTTTTTTAGATGTAATCTTTGTCCTGCCTTTTTTAATTTCTCGCTCTATTCGATCCTGCCTTTTTTATTAGTTTCTCCGACTTTTTTTTTACATACATTGTGATCCTACCTTTTTGTTACACAGTTGCTCATCCTGCGTTTTTTACTCAAAACTCCTGTCCTGTCAGTTGCGGATCCAGAGGGGGGTTCCGGGGGTTGGAACCCCCCCTTTTTTTACGATCAAAGCATTTGAATGGGGCCATATTGTTTGAACCCCCTCTTTATCCTGGGTTGGGAACACTAGTACCACCCCATTTTTTACAACATTTATATGTAATTACAAATTTCAGTGGCCAAATGTTTATGATTAACACAGTCGAAGTGTATTACCTGATTTCTTAATGCATTTTGGAATGAAGATGTATTTTTCTGTAAACGTGTATGTTTCTAAAACAGTTTTGAAACACAATGAAAATGGTATGCATGGTCTTTGTTTGTATATTAGAATGATACAAAGATAAGTAGAGCATACACCAATGAGCAACATTGTAGAAACCAACCCCAAAACAACTCCGAACATGTTGCTTTCGTCTTGTTATTTGATATTTTTTCTACTTTTATGAATGAATTTTGAGGACTTTTCTATATGATAATATAAATTAATAATGTCAGGCAACATTTTTTTTACTTGTCCACGGGCAACAAACACACAAAAATTTGCTTGTCCGGTCGGTCAAATGTACGAGTCGGGCGAGTCGGGCATGACATTTCCACACCCCTGAATGTCTGTTACTTTCAATCTCTAACAATGTAAAAATCATGAATATTAAACAGTTCATTCTATTTCAGAACCAAGCTGCTCATTCTGGGCAGAGAGCACCAAGGACTCGTGTATGACAGGAGAGGCACCAATCGTCAAATCGACAATGACATCTAACAAGATACTTGAGGACAAAACAACACAGCGTTTGATTGCCATCGAAGAGAGACGACTAAAAATAGAAGAAGAAAGGCTTCGTGTCGAAAAACAGAGATTGACTATGGAGTCGGAAAGACTTGATATAGAAAGACAGCGATTTAACATTGAGCAACAGAAACACCAACTGTATTTTGCACAAATGAACATTAATTTAGCACAAATGGGAGTCCAAGTGTTAGACCAACAAACACTGAGTACACCTGATGATGCCTAGATTTAAACTTTATAAAACTCGCATAATGTTATATTACACATTTTTTGTTAATCTTTATTTCTTTAAATTATTGACGAGTCTATAGTGGGTTTTTTCAAAGCTGTCAACCTAAGCATTGAACTATTAATAAACTTTCTGCACAAAGAGTAGAGGATTTAATAAATATCTGGTAGTTGTAATGATAAAAAATACAATATTAAAAAGTAATTGGATGATACAATTTATTCAATGTCCAAATCTTCCATTTATCAGCCTGTTTCTAACATTTGCACCATCATTCAAATGGCCGACATACTGTTGTCTGTCTATGTGTCCTTGGTCTGGGCGATTTCGGTCAATGTCTGCCGGCAATGGGATTCTATTTGCTATACACATATTATGTAAAACAGCAACAGCAATAAAAATGTCACAGCATTTTAATGGTCTGTAAAGCAATGTGCCAGCACTTGCATCTATGCAACGGAAACGTGATTTTAAGACTCCAAAACTCCTTTCGACAACGCTCCTCGTCTTCATATGGGAAGCATTGTATCTTTGTTGATTTCTCGTTGTTGGGTTAAGCACAGGAGTGAGAAGCCATGGTCGAAGTGGATACCCACTATCTCCTATCAGCCATCCATGATCAATTGTTCCGTCCTCAAACATTTCACTCAAGCTAGAATTAGCCCAAATAAAGGCGTCGTGAGTTGCACCTGGCCATTTAGCTACAATGTTTAGAAATTTCATGTTAGAGTCACAAACTCCTTGAACATTAATAGAGTGGTAGTTTTTTCTGTTCACATATAAATGTTCATCTTCTAATGGAGATTTTATTCTAATGTGCGTCCCGTCTATTGCTCCGACGATATTTGGGAAGTCATCAATGCTGTAAAAGCCTTCCATCATGTTATGCAGCTGTGCTCGATCAGTTGGCATCTTAATATATTGGTTGCATACTCTTTTCAAACACATTGTCACATCACGGGTAATTCTTGAAACACTCGAGATTGAAATATTGTGTACGTCGGCATTGACGAGCTGAAAACTCCCAGTTGCAAAAAATCTCAAAGCAACCATGACTTGTAAAGAGACAGGAAAAGCGCGAGATCTCCTCGTTGGTCTTTGAAGATCAAATTCAAACATTCTGCAAATATCTATTATCATAGGACGTGATAGTCTGTATTTTCTTACTATTTCTGTGTCATCTAGGTAATCCAAAGGGTTGTCAGGGTCTCGGAAAATTCTATTTCTGCGAATGTTTTGATGTTGTCGTCTTAGGTGCATGAAAACTAGAGCCGCCATATTTGTTTGCAACTCATGTTAGGACATCGTAACGATGTCTTAACTTAGGACTATCCTAAGACCATCATAAGACACCTCTCGTGTAGTCCTAACTTTATGACCAACTTTAAGAGATGTCCTAAGTTATGACCACTTCGTGAAACCCACTTAGGACTAAGATATGTCGTAAGACCATCCTAAGACATGTCTTAGTCCTAAGACAGCTTCGTGAAACTGGCCCCAAGGATAAACCCTTATTGTTACAATATTGCCGAAAACCAAACGACATTGATTAGCAATTATGACAAACCAATAAAACATTTGTTGTTTGAGATTATTCATGGTTGACTAGTTGTATAACCGGTGGCACGTGTCCTAATTATTAAAACAAGGGACAGAAAAGTATTAAACAGAAATAACCGGTTTTTTTAAACCATATTTTCAAAATTCACTGCATGATTTAAACAGCTTAAAAGTGTTTCATTTATTTTATCTTTGTGCATATACGATGAAGTGTCCTGAAGGGCTCTCTTCACAAAACAATATTACTACAAAAAATGATAGCAAGTTATACTTTAATGTTCCTGACTTACGAGTATTTTTGTCATTAGATTTCTTGTGAAATTGATCGATGAGCGGCTTTTTACAAATACCGAAAAAGATATATGGCGTAAACGTCAATGGACAAGCAACCCAACGAGAAAAATAAAAATTAAGAGGCATCTATAACTAGTTTAGAGCTGGAGAAATCATTCAATGCCATGTGATTGTATTTAGGTTTAAAATTTATGCGTTTTTCGATTTATGAAGAGGTCAATTAGAAAAAAATTAAGTAATTGACGCCAAAAAAAAAAAGAATACAAAAATAAGATGCATGAAATAAAGTAATAACATAAGTTTACAAATGAACTTATTATTATCATTTTTTTTAATTGTAATTGTAATTTTATTTTTATTTTTATTTAATGTTACCCGAAATGGAGTCCTCCTAAAAGATAAAATTCACTTGAATAGGTATTTCTGGTTTAAATATCACACGTACTATCTACAATATACGGAAATGACGTCACGGCTGCGTATTGTAAAGTTACTGAAGGAAGATTAATGTCAAATTCATATCCCCGGGCGACGAAATTACCGGTTTGTCAGAAAATTAGGGTGTAGTTTGCGCCAACTACCATTTAGAAAAGGTTTGAATCGCGCCCATCTTTTCTTTTCTTATAGTATGAATTGCGCCAATAAATGGAACTTAATTGTGCCATATTTACCTCTAAACGATTAACCTATTTACATGTAAAATATGAATACTCACTTAAAAGGATGTCTGAATTTGTTTTAAAAAAGATAGAGTCTGATAGAGGGTCTGAAACCTGTCGTGGTTGTGAAGATTATAAATTCCGCCAGGCTTTTATAGAGAAAAATGGAGAAATTATATGGGAATATAATGCGCACTGTTAAATCATGCTTTGCACGGTTATTTACAGATGACTCGTGCACAATCATTTTGAATGGTGAATAAGATCACATACATGAATTCAGCGCTCAGAAACTAGCCCGTAAATATGAGGAGGGAATCCAGTTATTAATCAAATATGAAAACGGTGTGTAGAAATACCGCAAAGGACTGAGCACAAAGTTTTTGCACTAAGGACACTAAAACGATGTTTTAAGACCACAAAGAACATGGATATAAGAAGATATAAGTATATAACTCATAAATATAAAGTTTGATGTCAATCGATATTATTATTTTGAAGTTAAATGACTTTTAAGCAGCGCGTGCCACAAAATAAATACGGCAGTAACAAACAAACGAAAATAATCAGAGAAAATTGAAATACCATAAACATGTTTAATCAGTTTACAAGTGGACCCAAAACGGGTCAAGGTTAAACGAACATGAATTTCTATCGATTACACAGATGACAGACATTCAACGGAGTGTGGCGCGTGTCGATAAAACATTAACTAACTTACAATGACTAAATATATGATTATTAGATTAAAAAAAATGTACTTTTAGAAAGTGTCCTTCTATATGCCATGTTCTTTGTGTCAATTCTATCATTCCGTCAGGTCCTTAGTGCAAATTTTTGTCCTTAGTGCAATTAGAACAAAAATTTGCAGATAAGTCTATAACATTTGCGCAATTAAATGCTGATTTTATTGGCGCAATAGAATGCTGCAGTTTTCAAAAATAAAGTGACGCAAAAGAAGAATTGGCGTAATTAAGTTGTGGCGCAAATTAATTCTTTTTTTACAGCGCAAATGAATATCGGCCTTCAAAACACCGTTTGTACACTAACATTTATCTTTTACGCTGTCTAGCCTAAAAATAAAAGTTTTGGCAATTTGTGTAGGATTTTAATTTTAGAATGTAATGAACAAGTACGAAGATCGTTAAAAACCTTAAGTGAATCGGAAAATGAGCTACGCACGATTAAAGGAAATAGTTTGATGCGTCGATATGAAATTTCACAGAGGCATGTAATATTTGTAAAATTTGGAGAGAGAGAGAGAGAGAGAGAGAGAGAGAGAGAGAGAGAGAGAGAGAGACTAATAAATTTCGCGGTATTTGGTCTCATGTTACAACAAATGTACTCATGTAAAAATGTGATGGAAGGAACAACAAATGGAAGTTTTAAACGACCTTGACTGGCTATACAGCCTTTGCACGGTCGGCCCTGGCTTGCGCCTTTTTGGGCATTAAATAATTTAATTTTTACCATATGGTAATTGATATAATTTAGAATGACAAAAAAAAATTATTAAAAAATAATATAGAGTAAAATTTTGAATAACTAAATGAATAAATAAACTGATGAATAAGTTAATAAATAAATAAAAGAAAAGAATATAAAAATAAATAAAATAAAATAATATAAAAATGAAATTTTTATATAAAACATGAAATAAAAAAAAAAATAAAAAATACATACGTAAAAATAAATAATTAATAAACACGGAGCCACCAGAAGTAGGAAAAGGAGGAAAACTAGGCCAAGCAAACAGCAGTGAACGGCAGCAACGTTGTCCTGGTACACCAACAGCTGAGTAAAGAGCGGAAAATTTTGATATGCCAAATTGTGTATGTGAATTTATTTGCCAAATATTTTGTATAAACCGAAAGATGCTTAAATTTGTGTATGCGATTTTTGCAAAAATAATTAGTAATGCTTTGTGGTAGTGCTACTTATATTGAGACTTTATAGTGCTAGTACACTGGAACGCTGCCCGCAGGAAGACAGCGCCCCACGCTAATTAAAACTGGGTTAGCGCAAACTAGATCTTGCGAAGTACCATTTTTTAAGTCTTAGATTTGACTTGCGGCTTAATGATATGGAAAATTTATATAAGGACCAAAAGTAGACACAAAAATGATTTGGGTGCTGCGAATTTGGAAAAAAAAGTCAAATGTTATCGTGAGTTACTGTTTAGTTAGCATAATTTCAATAGTTTAATTTACTTAGCACTACATATATTTTAACTAATTCTAAATATGTTTAATTATTTCAAACATTTTTTTAGATTATAAATTTATTTCGATTTAAATTCGTCTTGAAGAGCTTGCTGTACTGCCGGTTACGGCCTGACTCCATTTCTGAGTCACTGACCCGGATAACTCTTGCAGTGTAGTTGATCTTCTTAACGATGTTTTGTTGAGCCATCTCGAAGAGCCTGCTGTACTGCCGGTTACGGCCTGACTCCATTTCTGAGTCACTGACCAGGATAACTCTTGCAGTGCAGTTGGTCTTCTTACCGATGTGTTGTTAAACCGTCTTGAAGAGCCTGCTGTACTGCCGGTTACGGCCTGACTCAATTTCTGAGTCACTGACCAGGATAACTCTTGCAGTGCAGTTGGTCTTCTGACCGATGTGTTGTTAAGCCGTCTTGAAGAGCTTGCTGTACTGCCGATTACGGCCTGACTCCATTTCTGAGTCACTGACCCGGATAACTCTTGCAGTGAAGTTGGTCTTCTTACTGATGTGTTGTTAAGCCGTCTTGAAGAGCCTGCTGTACTGCCGGTTACGGCCTGACTCCATTTCTGAGTCACTGACCCGGATAACTCTTGCAGTGTAATTGGTGTTCTTAACGATCTTTTCTTTAATACGTCCTGTTATTGTTGTAAAAATTGTTTTATTACTGCCGGTTACGGCCTGACTCCATTTTGAGTCACTGACCCGGATAACTCTTGCAGTGTATTTTATTTATTTTATTTATATTACTTTTATTTTTTTAATACTTATATAAATTTATGGTAATCAATTTCTGTTAAATATTGAACCAAGCACGACCAGACATATTGTTGTTTATCTTTAGGAGGATAAGTTTGATTGTAAATTTTGTCTGGCTTGTGAGTGATTAATACAGTTAACTAGTACGTGTTCTATATCCTCTTTAATGCCGCATGTATTGCATATTGGAGGTACATTGCGGATGTACTGGCCTAGCTGACCAGGTAATAAAGTAGTACCCAACCTAAGTCTAGTTATTGTTTTTGCATGATATCGATTACCTTGATAAAAAGTGGGTTTTTTATTTACTGTATTGATGGAAGGAAATGTTTCCCCCTCGTTTTATATAGCAGAGTATTCCATAGTGTAATGATATCAGTTGCAGATTTTTTTTTCTATCGGTAAGAAATGGTATACAGTTCCAAATCTACATTAAGTTATAGTACATTCAAAGTAAGTTTATTACATTGCTAAACGTTTCTCAATCAAGATAAAAACGTTTACAACCAATTCTATTTTTTACGACTAAATTTTTTTTATGTAAAATAGATAGTTCACGTTACATTGAACTAAGGGTATTGTTTAGGTTAGGTTTTTTTTAAACATTTTATAAGATCAAATTTGAAATGTAATTAACACAATGATTCAAAATTACAAAAAGACATCAAGAATTACGCAATTTGTATAAAACAAAAAATATAATAATTAAGATAACTTATTTGCTTTAATCAATAAGTGAAATGTCTCCAATGTCTCCAATCCAATCTTTCCAGTCTAATTTAGTCCAAAGGGTGACAAGGGGATATGAATACAAGTCTTCTTTCGGCTGGCAGTAAAACAAAACTTGCCAAAGTGGGGCATCCGTTTGGTTGTTTGGGATATACAAGGACGCAACCAACTATAAATCAATCCAATCTAATAACTGTTTTTTTCCCGCTTTTTTTATGTTAAATTATTTTAACTCAAAATAATAATTGAAATAACTTTCTGAAATAAAAC